GGCCTCTGCTCGCTCTAGCCGCCAGCCTCCGCTCACTCTAGGCCTCATTTCTCCGATCACAAATGCAGACATGGTTTTGTTTACGCAGCGTGATGCATTTCAACGAGTAAAAAGACCGTATAAGTCATTATAATCTGTAATTATGTCCCCACTGGATGCAACAAATGCCTCGTTTATGATGGGTTTTAATGTTTTTGTCTCGTCGCTCCGGCCGGGACACGGCATCACAGTATGGTAAGGGGCGTAACATTTCCGTCACACGCTTGAGGTATTCGGCCAATCACAACGCACTGGATAGCTGGCCAATCAGAGCACAGCTCGCTTTTCAGACCGATGAGCTTTGTAAAAATTGACGCGTTTCAGAAAGGCGGGGCATAGGGGAGAAACAATAATGTACAGTATGTGGAAAATGTGTTTTTTGAACCTTAAACCGCATAAACACATTTCATTACACCAAATACACAAAATAATGTTCCTTTTAGCAACATCATATGACCCCTTTTAATATCAAGCATGCAATATCGATGGTAAAGATGGCCTGTCAAAGTTTGTGCACAAATGTATATAAATCATTGAAATTGAAGTTGTTTCGATGTTTGTTTCACATTCTTTTTGGATTATCGCGGTTACAAAATTCAAATTCTGAATATTTTCTTTTTTAATATTTAATATTTCAATATTTTATTATTTTATTATTTGAATGAATGATAAAGGAATGGCAGAAAAGTTTCCTAGAGCATTTTAAATGTGACCTTCATATGACAAAAATAATATTTGTGTATTTAAATCAACCCCTGGGATGTAAACGTGCCTAAGGAAACACTCTTTTATGTCACCTCAAAATATACAAAGAAAGGAGCACTTTAAAAATGTAGTCCTTTGGGCACTAAACATGATAATCTAAGTAATAATATTCATGCTATTCATGCAGCTTTTCATTGAAGCACCAGATATGGAGCATTAGCATCACATAAACGATAAGATTGCCTTTCCTCGATCCAAATTTGGTGTATTCGTAAAGTTGCCACAAGGTGTTAGCGCTTCTCCCACAGCCTCTGTGTTGTTTGTCGTCTTACAGGCTGATTTAATTAGATAAGATTTCATGCAGGGTTGAACTTGAAGGCATTTGAGATTTAAGTCATTTGAGGTGGATGAAGAACTACATTAAGTGAGTCATGAGGAGACGTGCTCTCCGTCACCATGCAGATAAATACAGTTGTCACTCCTCTTAATCCTGTTCCTTACACACAATGATATCTGCATCCAGCAACAAATTCACTCGCAAAAAATCAGGTAATTCCAATGTCATTTATACAGTGCAATCTTTCTGATTGTAATTAAAAGGATTTACTCCAGCATTTAAATGTGGTTGTCGCTTCCAAAACATTGCGGTGTGTTTGAGAGAGTCTACACACCATGACAGAAGATATTTCTTCAATGAAAACTTAGAAGAAGAATAAAGCATCAAGTGTTGTATGCAACTCAATTTTCTTTGTAATTATATTCTCTCTCTTTCGCTCTCTCTCTCTCTTTTTTCATTATTCTTGGAGTGAATTGCTACAGCGGTTCTCTGAATAAGACCATCTTCAGAGTTCTTATGATTTCTCTTGTGAAAAAGAACTATGAGCATACTTTTGAAAAAAGAGTACTTATTACAGAAATAAAGAATTTTAAAGAATATACTTAAATGTGAACTGAATGTAATGTTTTAGGAGATTCAATTGCATGCAAATGCAATTAAATGAAATGTATTGTAGGTTAAATTTATATCAAATACAGTTAGTTGAACTTAAGAGTGACCCACCTACGTAGGACTTAAGTATGTTTTTATATGTAATTTCATAAGTTCTATTTCCTTTGAAATATGGTACTGACAGTCATTTATGATAAACAAAAATATGCAGGGTTATTATAGTTAACTAAAACTAAAACAACAACAACAAAAAAGTAGTTACTTGAAATCACTTGGAAAAAAAAAAATAGCTGGAGTCCTTAATTGGAAACTAGCTGTAAAAAAAAATGAAAAAAATGAATATATATTTAAATTTATTTTATTTCAGATAGTTGCCAAGGACTCATTTTCATTTAGCTTAACTTGATGTACTGTAATAGCTAAAACTAAAACTGAAATAGAAATAAATTATTAAAAAACTATTTACTAAAAATGTAAAAAACAAACACAACATAATTAGTGAAACTTTAACTAAAATTAAAACTAAAATGAACTAAAACAGAAAAAACAAAATTAATAAAAACTATAACAGCATGTCAGTGATACTAAAATAATACTACTTTAATTCCAATTCAGAAGAAACTTATATAACATTTATTTAAATACATTTGTTTACATATTTGTAAGCTGCAGTTTAGTAGATTTAAAATATACTAACTTTAACTGTAATATGAAATAACATGCTACAGTTAAAATTATAATCAATTTGACATGTGCTTTAGTATGTTAGTCAATACATCACAATAAGTGCACTTTAAAACATTATAAAATATTAAAACAATGATCTAAAATGTACTTTGAAGTAAAAGTTTAAATTTGACGTTATTACCATGTGCATTATGACTGTGCAAGTTTTCATAAACTTTTGAAAGTTTATTTTCTTTAAATACTTTAAATACACCTAAGTTGCTTTTTATTACATTAGTATTATATTATCTGCACGTATACTTTCACTTTCAGTAACACTTGTTTTTTTTGTTTTTTTTTTGGTTTTGTTCCTTTTCTTTTTTCCAGGGTTTCCCAGGACTGGGGCTTGTTAAAATGGAGCGCTCCTGTTTGTAGGAGTACAAGCCGGTTCACTTGTGTCCATTTGTTTTGCTGCTTCTGTGTGCTTTTAGCTCAGATTATAATTTTTATGCAATCTGTGCTAAGCAGGAGATTTGTGGACAGCTGGCAGCTCATCTCATATACCCATGTGAATCTCTTCTGATCTTTCCTCTGCTTTCTCTATGCATCTCTCTCACACATAACCTGCAAATTTGTGCTTAAAACTTTGCTCCGCTCATCTCTTCCTTGAGCGCGTACACTGTTTCTCTTTCAAATGGGTTTTTTTTTACGGTCACCATTATTCACGTTTTGCTCTCTCTTTATCCTGCGCTTCATATGAAGGGCTGGCAGCTGTACTGAAATGGCTTAATGTTTCAATCTCTCAATCGTTGTTGATCCCCAGACCCACATGACGGCGTAACTCACTGAAAAAGGGACAGGTCTGAAGCTGTGCTGAGGAGTTAGGACTTCCCCTCCCTCATCAGAGCGCAGACAGATACTCATTATAACGGCTGAGCATGAGAAATCATCGGAGGGATCAGAGAGACAGAAAATACAGATTCCATTAAGCTGAATGTTATGAATTTTTACACAAAATGGAAAATAAGTTGTTTTATATGACCTTGTTTATGGTAAACCCACAGAAATCTGCAGATCTACGCAGATTGAATGGACTTGATGCTTCTGGCTGAAAGCACAACTAAATTATCCTCAATAATAAGTTTTACGTTTTTTTTTTTTAAATGCATTAGATTTCATTCAAAATTTTAAATTAAATGATCTGAAAATTGGGTTTTATGTGTGTTGTTTTAATTTAGTCTCTCTTTATCATAACTATGTAAACACTTTGAATTAATTTGGACCCAAATGTGTAGAATTGTATTAATTTGTGTACATTTTATGCAGATTCTATCTTTGCCTACTTGTAATATTGTCATCGTGTGTGAGAGCCTTTTTGAGCATCAGGACATTGATGCTGTAAAGTCTAGATTCCTAATGCATTTATTTTTATTAATTTATTATTTATAAGATTTAACTGAGATCAGTTTGGTTGGGATGTTGCTTTTGTAAGATATGTATCTTCTTACGCTGGCATTATAGCCCATGAAATATTTGGCTCAGCTGTGCAATAAGCCGAATGATCTCAGCAGCTGTTAGATTATGAAACTATTTTGATGTTACTGCCTGGCAATGAATATGATATTAAGTTGACTTTGATTACTTGTAAAGTGCTCCCTCTTGTGTTCAAACTATGCATATAAAAGGCTATTAATTATGTTGCGGTGTAGAGTTAAAAGAATGTTCCATATTCAATAAGTCTATACTAACAGCATAATGTTGATTATCACAGAGAACTGAGAGAGAAAAAAGCAATCATGCTGACAAAATTCACCAGGCAATAAAACACACTCTGTACATAAAATGTATGGCCACAAAACTTAAAATACATGTTAACATGAGACTAGTGAGTTATAGTCAATCTTTACAGGAATGAACAATAATCAGACATTTAGAATCTCTGGAAAACACTGTATGCTTTCTTTTCAAAGTGTTTTATTTACATTCAATTTTATTTATTTATTTTACATCAAAAGTTTGGCGTTGGCAAGATATTTTTTACAAGAAATGAATACTTTTATTTTGCAAGAATGCATCGAATTGATCAAAAGTGACAGTAAAGAAGACATTTATGTTACAGAAAGATTTCTCCTTCAAATAAATGCTGTTCTTTGGAACTTTCTATTCATCTAAGAATCCTGAAAAAAATATTAAAAGTTTCTACAAAAATGTTAAGCAGCACAACTGTTTTTGACATTAATAATAATAAGAAAAAAATCTTGAGTACAAAATCAGTATATTAGAATGATTTCTGAATAAATTGCAGGAATTCACAGGAATAGATTACATTTTAAATAGAAAACAGTCATTTTAAATTGTAATATTATTGTTTTTACTGTATTTTTCATCAAGTAATTGCAGACTACAAACCGTTGAATAATAGTGTATTCATTTTAAATGAGTTGGGACAAGTCAAAAATATTTTCTGTGACAAACAACATTATGTCCCAAATGCGAATTTTTGAACCAGGAGCATTCTTTTAATTTTGAGCTTTCGCTCCTGAGCAGAGCCAAACATTCTGCGACCATCTTGTTTTCTCATTTGGAAGTCTATGGGCTCTTCGTGACTCTTGTCTGTGATTATCCCATCCCCCCTGTGCAGGTGACTGGTTGGCTGCTGTACCATCATTCTCGTCCTACTCCTGGGGATTTCCTGTCACGTGACCATATTCCTGATTCACCTCCACTCCTAGTATGGAACCCAACAAAGTCCAGTCAGAGGGTGGGCTGAATGTGACCCTGACCATCCGGCTTCTCATGCACGGCAAGGTAAGTTGAGCCCGCAGAGCAGTACAGTACAGAGGGAAGTGGATGGGGGTGGGCTTGTGATGTCACTGCTGTGTGCCTCAGGGATCTGTCCTCTCCTGACCCACTGTTTCAGGCCAAGGTGAATCAGGGGTTGTCAGTACCAGTGACCTTTTAGACTCATTAAATCTCCGTAAACAAGGAATGAATATAAAATATAGCCATTTTCATGAGGAAATGTGTTCATGTACAATTGTGAATGTTTAAAATGCTTACGTTTGCAATGATTTTATTGGTTCTCTATTTTTATTTTTTTTGCAGGAAGTTGGAAGCATCATTGGAAAGGTATGCTAACATACATACATACATACATATATATATATATATACATATATACAGTATATACAGTATATACAGTATATAGATACAGATAGATAGATTATATTATATATATTCAGTATATTATATCAGCGACTTAAGACTGGTTTTGTGGTCCAGGGTCACATATATATGTGTGTATATGTGTTTTTTTAAGCACTGAATCCAATTCTCCACTCTTCTTTTTGCTACAGAAAGGGGAAACTGTGAAGAAGATGCGTGAAGAGGTATGTTTCTTTTTGCTAATTCGTTTTACCAAAATCCTCTTGTTCTGTTGAGAATTAACTTTTTTTAATCACACTGACCTCAGTGTTGTTTGTGTAAAAATAATAGTAGTCATTTAAAATGAGCTTATTACCCTTTTTAAAGATGGGATAGATGAAAGTAGTTTAAAATTGCACCTTTAAGTGTGGTTTTGAGCTGTTAAAATTTCTTGGAGTCTCTCAGACCCAGGGCTGGATTGGTAATCGGGCATACCGGACATTTTCCCGGTGGGCCGACGCACTTAAGGGGCCGACAGAATGTTTTTTTTTGCCGAAAACCATCACGCAGGGACAGCGAGCAGCCAGTGGCCCATTGGATTGTCTCCTGCATAGACAGCGTAAACCATCCAATCACAATGC